GATCCGAACGACGTATGAAGAATACCTATATCTTTATCTTGAACAGAGCCAGATGTCAGACGCTGGCTCAGGATCGGGAACATTAGAGATACTGTCTGACGCCGCTGCCTGCGAGACCCAAAAGACTAAGCTCTACCGTCACACTGACTGGCTGCATGCCTGTCTGACTGACTTACTGACTGGTGTTAGCTCACAACAACTCTTAGTAAATATTACAGTAGGTTAAAGTGGCAAAATTTAAAAATTAGGTCTACCCCAAAATGGAGTCTACCCCAGAACATCGAGGTTATGATTTCGATTTGTTCTCGCCTACAGATCGTAGCGTCTAGGACTGAGCCTGCTTTTGTTCAACCCAATTGGGAGACCCAGTTTGCGTCCTTTGCACTGCAGGCGCTTAAGCACCATGGAACCATGGCCTGCTTAAATGTTCTCCCTAGGCGTATAGAAGTAAAGGGCGGTGCGATCAGCTGCTGGTTTATATTGAAAAATTGATTTTTTTCTTTTCACCGTGCATTCGCCGTTTCAATCCCGTATTTTTACTTTAGTATAATTTAAAACTTGAGCTTTGAGTAATCTTACGTATGGGACCTCATACAACAGTAGTCATTGTACAAGTGGTGGATTACAGTGGATAATTATCTGCGTTTATTCATATTACAGAACTGAAATATTTTTTAGTCAGCCTTAAATTAACTAGCATTCGGTGCGAAGTTTACTCATGTGAAAGTAACCGTACCTCCAAAATTAGCTGACTACTTCACACCCCAAATTTAGACTATCGACGAGCCGTAAAAAGTATCGGTCCATGGCAAAAGAACACGAAAAGTGAGGCAGAATTCCGGCTATATGTATAGTGCTATACGTTATTATATAGTTATACATATTCTAGCGTACATACATATATGCTGTGTACGAGCATTTATACTGTTTACTTTCTTTTTCTTACAATCAGCTGAACAGGCATAGCACAATATATCACGACGTATCCGAGAGGATGTCTTTTCCACTAGGGGCGTGTCGGAAACTCTACTGGCCAGTTCTGCAGCTGGGGAACATATGAACAAGCATGTAGGTATAGGAACGTGATAATATCAGATTTTGCAGAATTTCGTTCACACTGATTTTCATAAGATGTCATTAGAGTTGAAAGTCGTTTATTTTATTAGAATTTGTTTTTGTTTCAGATGCGAATGAATAACGAATTTATTATAGCTCAGTAACTATAATGAGAAGACAGAGTCATAAAAAGAGGCATTCACGCTATAACTTAATAAAAAAGCGTTTCTTTGACATTGCAGACATTAAAGCTTTGAAAAATTCAGCAAAACAGACAACTTCTACAGAATAACTTTCCTAAGCAAAGGACACAACGGGCGCAACTTCTCAAGTACGGTCCGCTGGCAGGACGATGAGTCCACGGAAGCCGGGGTAAAGCCCTTCATGATCAGCACCTCGAGCACGTTGGAGTGAATGTCGCACCAAACGTCGTCCAAATCTCGCTCCTTAATCGCATAGGACAAATCCAGCTCCTGCAGTTTTGGGAAATGGTAGCACAACAGAAGTAGGGTTCTGCCCATCGGGTTCTCCTGAGTGCCGATTTTGCGCAGAAACGGCAGCTGCTTCAGCTGCAAAAACGAGCAGGTGACCGATCGAACGAAGCTGGCCCGGTTGCCAAAGATGTACAGCTCTTGCAGCTTCAGAAAGCACTGGCCGATGACCGCAAACATGCTGTCGGTCATCATATGGCTGCTGACCGACAGCGAACGCAGATTGGCAAACACGTCGAACGGCTTGATGAAGAAGTCGGTCTGGCACATCTGCGCGATCGTATTGACGGTCAGTGTGTGAATGTTGCGCATCAGTGGAGAGGCGATGTACGTCATGCCGCGGACATAGGTCATAGCCAACACCTTCAGCTGCGGGCACCGTTCGAGAATGCAGTGAAAGTAAACAGGATAGACGTAGC